TTTAAATAATTTATTTGTGTGTAACTGCTGCAAATAAGTATTCGAACACCTGTGAAAATCAACGTTAATATTTGGTACAGTAGCATTAGTTTACAATTGCAGAGGTCACACGTTTCCTGTAGTTTGTCACCAGGTTCTCTCACACTGCAGCAGAGATTTTGGCCCATTCCTCCACACAGAACTTCTCTAGATCAGCCAGGTTTCTGGGCTGTCGCTGAGAAACAGTTTGAGCTCCCTCCAAAGATTAGGGTTTAGGTCTGGAGACTGGCTAGGCAACTCCAGAACCTTGATGTGCTTCTTACAGAGCCACTGCTTGGTTCTCCTGGCTGTGTGCTTCAGGTCATTGTCATGTTGGAAGATCCAGCCTCGACCCATCTTCAATGCTCTAACTGAGGTTACTGTGGCTATTACACTAAGACATCATAGTTTAAAATCATGCGTGGCACGGAAGATTCTCCTGGTTAAACCAGCACACGTCCAGGCCCGTCTGAAGTTTTCCCATGACCATTTGGATGATCCAGAGGAGTCATGGGAGAAAGTTGTGGTCAGATGAGACCAAAATAGAACTTTTTGGTCTTAATTCCACTCACCGTGGTTGGAGGATGAAGAATGATGAGTACCATCCCAAAAACACCATCCCTACTGTGAAGCATGGGGGTGGAAGCATCATGCTTTGGGGGTGCTTTTCTGCACATAGGACAGGACGACTGCACTGTATTAAGGAGAGGATGACCGGGGCCATGTATGGTGAGATTTTGAGGAACGACCTCCTTCCCTTGGAAACAGTGGTGCCAGCTCTCTTCAGGTCATGGACCAGCTCCTCCCGTGTACTTCTGGGCTGAGTCCTCACCTTTCTTAGAATCACTGATACACCACGAGGTGAGATCTTGCATGGAGCCCCAGTCTGAGGGAGATTGTCATGTTTAGCTTCTTCCATTTTCTAATAATCGCTCCAACAGTTGATCTTTTTTCACCAAGCTGCTTGACAATTGCCCTGTAGCCCTTTCCAGCCTTGTGGAGGTCTACGATTTTGTCTCTGGTGTCTTTGGACAGCTCTTTGGTCTTAGCCATGTTAGTAGTTGGAGTCTTACTGATTGTGTGGGGTGGACCGGTGTCTTTATGCAGCGAACGACCTCAAACAGGTGCTTCTAGTTTAGAATAATAAGTGGAGGTGGCCTTTTTAGAGGCGGACTAACAGGTCTGTGAGGGCCAGAACTGTTGCTGATTGGCAGGTGTTCAAATACTTATTTGCAGCAGTAACACACAAATAAATTATTTTAAAAATCATACATTGTGATTTTGTTTTTTTTATTTTTTTAGATTGTCTCTCACAGTGGACATGCACCTAAGATGAAATTTCAGACCCCTCCATGATTTCTATGTGGGAGAACATGCAAAGTTGCAGGGTGTTCAAATACTTATTTTCCTCACAGTATATATATATATATATATATATATATATATATATATATA